TTACTTGTTTTGTAATGCCTAATTGGTCGTTGGGGGTAGAACACTCTGATTTTCTGACTCAGTATCAGTTTTAGATGGGCACTGTACTCCTGTGTCTTGGAATAGGGCCTTCTCCATCATCCTACCCCACCCTCTGATGGAAGACCTCTAAGGCAAAAGGGAAACTTTCTCAGGACTCACACACTGCACCCAGTCTTTCCTGTGAACACACAGTAAGATCCATGGAGAAGAGCCTGCAAGTGAATGTGAATTTTCCTTGTAATCGTGAGTCCCAGAGTTTCTGTATTCTCATGCTGACCCACATTTTGTCTTCAGCAATTCCTTAAAATTTACAGCTGAGTTCTTACCAGCTTGGTGGTGTACAGGAAGGGAGTCATCTTATCCCCAAATAAACAGGTGCACTTCCGCAATCTCCTGGAAAATGATTGTCTAGCCTTAGATTAAGATTAATTAGGCTGGCCTGACTGGTGTGGCTCAGTTGGTTGGATGTTGTCCTGCAAAGTGAAAGGTCACCAGTTTGATTCCTGGTCAGGGTACATGCCTGGGTTATGTACGGGTTAGGTCCCCAATCAGGGTGCATTCAAGAAGCAATTGATTGATGTTTCTCTCTTACATGAATGTTTCTCTCCCTCTCTCTCCCTCCTTCCCCGCCCTACAATCAATCAATCAATCAATCAATAAAATTGTTTTTAAAAAACACTTATCAATTAATAAGTAAAAGTTCAATAATCTGTGGGCAAAGAATAGGAACATATATTTAACAGAAAAGGAAATGAACATACAATAAGGTGATTAGCCTACCTTAAAACAAATTTGTAAATATACAAGATACAATTTATCATCTCTCAAATTGACAAAGATAAAGTATTTGATAATATTGAATCAACAAGGATGGGAAGAGAGGCACCCTTACACAGTTTGGGTGAGAGTGAAAATTCATATAATTGGTGGAGAAAATAGGCAATATCAACATTTAAAATAGTTATACCCTTTTGTCCATCAATTCAACTATTAGGAATTTTATATATACTTATACCTGTGTATGAAGATTTATATACATGAAGTTTGTATCAACATTTATTTACAATCAAAAGATTGTAAATAAATATCCATGAATATGGGACTGAAGATAAAGTATGTTGAAGTTATATCAAAGTGGACCTTATAGCCTCAAAGAAAATTATATACACAAGATATAGTCATATAATTAAAACAAGAAAGAGAAAACAGATCTATCACATCTTTTCATTTGTGAGAAAATATATCAGTTTATTTATGTTTCTTATGCTAAACTGGTTTTGAAAGATACATGGGAAAGGAAAAAGGGAGACAAGGGTGGGAAAGAGACACAATATGTACCTTCTTTTGCCTTTTGAATTCCGTACCCTTATAAAAACAATTAAGTTCAGTTATTGAACTCAATTAAATGCACTGGCCCTTCATGAAAGGCCTCATGTCTATACCTCCAATCTTTCTCACAAGTCCTCTCTATTCCACCCACTTAAATGTCTGCTAAAAATAGACTGCATTTCTTACTGCCAAATGTTGATAAGTGTTCTGCATGTTGATACATTTCTCTGCCACCTGAAATATACTTCTTTGCCCCACAGCCTGTGCTTTTAGACCCAAATCCAATGTCATTCTACCCAAGAGCCTTCTCTGACCATCCTGATCTTCACTATACTTTCTCCTCTCTGAAATGGGTGTTTGTGACCTTGGCCTCACAAAGGATAATATAATTCTATTTGTTCTAAACTGTTGGCTCAGACATCTGGCCAAGATGGAGGTGTAGATAGATACACTTTGCCTCCTCACACAACCAAAAGAATGACAACAATGAATTTAAAAACAAAAAGTAACCAGAACTGCCAAAAAATTGAACTGTATGGAAGTCTGACAACCAAGGAGTTAAAGAAGAGACATTCATCCAGATAGGTTGGGAGGGGTTGAGACAGGCAGCGAGGGCAGAGAGGGCATGTGGCAAGGCGGTGGCTGGTGGACCCACCAGGTGAAGCAGCAGCTGGCAGACCAGGAGGTCCCATATTTGCATGCAGATAAACAGGGAGGAACAGGTGGGGAGTGAGACAGCATAACCCAGGTTTCCAGTGGCGGGGGTGGGGGGAGCCTCAAAACCTCTGGCTGTAAAATTCCATGGGGGATATGGCAGCAGGAGAAACTCCCAACCTAGCAGTTTGTTGGAGATACCTTCAGGGTCCTAGAAAATACACAAACCCACCCACCAAGAAATCAATACTAGAAGGGCCAAATTTGCTTGTGGGTAGTGGGGGAAGGGACTGAAAGCCAGCCAAGAGCTGAACAAGTAGCATTATTCCCTCTTGGACCCCTCCCCCACATACAGCATCACAACACAGGGACCTGGGATGCCCCACCCTGATAAATACCTAAGGCTCTGCCCCTTCCAAGGTAACAGGCACACCAAGACAAAGAAATATGGCCCAAATGAAAGAACAGACCAAAACTCCAAAAATAGAACTAAGCAATGAACAGATAGTCAACCTATCAGATACACAGTTCGAAACACTGGTAATCAAGATGCTCACAGAAATGGTTGAGTATAGTTGCAAAATGGAGGAAACGGTGAAGGCTATGCAAAGTGAAATAAAGAAAAATACACAGGGAACCTACAGGGAAGGGAAAGAAACCAGGACGTAAACCAACAATCTGGAGCAGAAGGAAGAGATAAATATTCAGCCAGAACAGAATGAAGAAACAAGAATTCAAAAAAATGCAGAGAGGCTTAGGAAACTGTGGGGCAACTTTAAAGTTTCCAACATCCAAATCATAGGGGTGCCAGAAAGAGAAGAGGAAGAGCAAGAAATTAAAAACTTATTTGAAAAAATAATGAAGGAGAACTTCCCCAGTCTGGCCAAGGAAATAGAATTCCAGGAGATCCAGGAAACTCAGAGTCCCAAAGAAGTTGGACCCAAGAAAGCACACACCAAGGCACATCATAATTACATTACCCAAGATTAAAGATAAGGAGAGAATCTTAAAAACAGCAAGAGAAAAGGAGACAGTTATTTATAAAGGAGTGCCCATGAGACTATCAGTTGATTTCTTGAAAGAAACCTTACAGGCAGGAAGGGGCTGGAAAGAAGTATTCCAAGTCATGAAAGACAAGGACCTACATCCAAGGTTACTCTATCCAGCAAAGCTATCATTTAGAATGGAAGGGCAGATAAAGTGCTTCCAAGATAAGGTCAAGTTAAAGGAGTTCATCATCACCAAGCCCTTGTTATATGAAATGTTAAAGGGACTTAAAGAAAAAGAGGAAGATCAGAAACTATGAATAGTAAAATGACAACAAACAATTATCAACAACTAAACCTAAAGAAAAACATAAACAGACTAAGGAAACAACTAGAACATGAACGGAATCACAGAAATGGAGATCAGACAGGAGGGAAAGAAAGGGGAGAATGGGGGAAAAGGTACAGGGAATAAGAAGCACAAATAGTATGTACAAAATAGACAGGGGGGTGTTAAGAATAGTATAGGAAATGGAGAAGCCAAAGAACTTATATTTGCCACCCATTGACATGAATAAAGAGGATGGCGGAATGCTGGTGGGGAGAGGTGGTGCAAGGTGGAAGGGAATAAAGAGGAGAAAAAAAAGAGACAACTTTAATGGCATAATCAATAAAATATATTTAAAAAATAAAAAATAAACTGTTGGTTCTTGCTTTATGTGAATTGGTCTTACCTTGGATACCCGATAGTTAAGTGTTTTGAGAGCACGAATGCAATGTGATTCAGATGTCTTTGTACCCTTGACATGGCCTAGCTCAAGGACAGCTGGGTGGAGGTCTGGATGCTGGAGGAAGAATCAAAATAACTTCTTAAGAGATTTTAAGTCTAAGAATTTGGACTGTTAGACCATTATCACCAAAGCAAACACTCTCAAGGAAATTCAGAAATCCTGGGATATTAGAGTCATATCCTAAAATCCACAGATGCCAAGCAGGTTACATAATGTCTAAATTAGCAGTCAAGTTATAGGAGTGATAGGTCCTGGGGCTAATGAGGAAAAAATCATCCTGCCTAAAAGTTACCAAAATCAGGTAAAAAAAAACTTCTCAGATAAACAGTACATGTGCTGAGAAGGTATGTACCATGAGCAGAAATTAGGTTGTGACCCTTAATTGGAAGTAGTTACTTATCTCTATGGGAAATCATCTTCCTGACCAAGCCGAATGCTGTCACATGAGTAGACGCAGCTCTAGGACAAAAATAAAATTAAATAAATAAATAAATAAATAAATAAATTGGATAGTGCTCCAGAAGTGAGCCAAATTCATTTGCCTAATTAAAAGCACTGTTTAAAATCTCTTCCCACCACAATGAAGGTTTCCTTTTCCCTACATATATAAATTTAAAGATACCACCACCTTGGCCTTTCCCCTCATCTCAGCCATGGTCCCCTTCATTCATCTCTAATTTCCAATCACCAGAGTCTATTACATCAAAACTCTCCATTTCCAAGCCATAACTAGACTCTGACCTCCCTAAGCTTGTGTGTGCTTCTCAGATACATTTTCAGTATAAGCAGGGGGGTATGTGGAGTTTCTTCTGTCCCTCTTCCTCAGGAGGTCCCCTAAACACTCAGTTTTCTTGGGATGGGTGACCAGACAGTTGTCATGAAGGGGAGAGCCAAGCCATCAGACTGGTGTAGGGTGTGGAGAGTGAAGGCAAAGTGGGAGTATAGACACTGCCTGTGAGCATGGTACATTTAGTCTCTGGTTCTGTAAACTTTACAACCAGACACCCTAATTTACAAACTGAACCACCACACAAGCTTCCCTAAAACAGATAAAAGTCTTTGACACTACACCTGTCTTGCAAAACAGAAGGGCTTTGTGATGCATCTGGTGACCCGGTTCCATCCTCTGTGAGGCGGAGAGGACAAGTCATTAGGCACCAGGATCCTGACTGCCTACTATAGTGATGGCTAGCATCCTCATGTTAAAGAGGTTTAGACCATGCTAAGCTTTACTTTTGTTCTTTGGAATGTTGGATATTTCTTATATATATATGGCACCATCTTCATTATTATCCTAATTATCTGGCAAGTGAAAAGGAGTTACCATGGATTAAGGTTGGAACCTAAAACAAGCTGCTGCCTGGTAGGGATACATTAACATTACAATTGAACTAATTAAATCCCAGATAAGAAGCTTTTAAAGATCCGAGTCTCTTTACCCTCCATTCCATTTTTTATACCATACATTCAGTTATTCAAATATGGTACTTTTCTCAGAGCCTAGGAATAATTTTTTACCAAGCCATCCCTGCCGTGTATTCTAATTGAAAAATCAAGAACTTACCTACCTACCTTGGGTTGAGATCTGGATGAAATGGAATCTACCTCACTGGATCTCAAAAGACATACCAATATGGGGGCTTCTTCTGGTTGGTGTATTTAATAAGCAAAAGTCTAGGACTGTTAGAATTAATCACTATCACCATTGAATCTATTCCATTATCCGTCCTGTGTCATGGTTAGCCCCCTAGAAACCCAGTCTGGGGAAAGGGGACAAGTAGTTAGGAGTAAAGAGAGCCTTAAGGTAACTGAGAAAGAACTAGAAAATGAATTGTTGGTGTGAAAGGGTGGACTAGAGGAAGGAAACATAGGTGAGTGTATTAAATTGAGATATACCCAGGAAGGAATCTGGAAACTTATATTAGTTTTGTCTTACTATAAACCTGAAAAATAACAGTGTACCACCTCCTTTACACTCTAACTTTTTTGTCTTTAAGCATCACCAAAAAGTGAAGCAAAAGGCTAGAGATGCAGCAATAAGAGGTAAAGTCTCAGAGTCTTCTCTGACTCCCCTCCACTGTGGGCGAGTTCCATGGATTTTATCCCTCTTTAACCTGTGGTGCTGGGAATAGGTACTCTAACCACTAAAGTTTCCAATTCCCATCTGACAAATTCTCCCAAAATTTCTTGGGTGGGAAATCAGAGCCTGGGAATGTTCCAGAATCCTCCACCTTATCCCAAGGAATGAAGAATGAAGGAATGGGGCAGAAGTCTTTAACCATGCCATTTACTGGTGTTATGACCCTGTGGAACTCACTTCAGTTCTCAGTCTTTTATCCACAAAATGGGTATCTGAAGATCCTGCCTCACTCACAGTGTGGCTGTGAAGATCTAATGAGATTAGGTCCAGGGCAGCACAATAAAACTGGTTAAGTTGTATGCAGATGTGCCTTAGAGCATTGACTGTTGGGGTTTTCATTCCCTTCTCATTCAAAGGCCTTTAGCTTCCTATAGGATGTCCCTGGATCCTCTCTCATTTCATGTAACACTGTCTCCTGGTTTCTCAGCTAGGAGACTTTCCCGGAAAGAAGCTGAGAAGCCATGGGAGCTGCTGTCTGTCATGAAAAGGTGATCACTTGCTCTTTGTAGCGTCCCAGCTCCAGCCTGGACCGGGATGATTTCTCTGTTTGGCCTGGGACAGGGATGAGGAGAGGGATAATGGCAGGAGGGAGTTGGACACAGTGGAGGCTGCAGCATGGTTGAGAGCGTTGCTGGGGCAAAGGAGGCTCAGATGTCTCGGGAGGGAGGAGTCTCCCAGTTCTGCTCTGGCTAGGCTCACAATGCTCCAGAGTTGAGAATTTGACTAGTGCTTAATTCATAAAAGACCCTACATAGGTTAGTACTCAGCCACAAGACCAGTTAGCCAGCTAAGAGAATGGGTGAATAAGTGCATAAATAAGTCATCATTGTCATATTCTTTTTACGGCTACAGCCTATCAAGGGCAGACCCCTGCACCCTGCTGACATTACCTCTGCTGGTTCTGTCTCAAGGGAACTCAGTTCCAGGGACAGCCCTCAGCCAGGAGCTCAACATCTCATCCTCTTCCTGAGAACTCTAGAGATGAGATTGGTTCTCAAGAGATGTCGTATACACCTCACAGTCCCCAGGGAGCAGAGTTTCCATGGGGACCTCATTTTCCACATCTTGGAAATACTGAACACCATGTTGTGGCTTTCTTAGTTCCAAATGAGACTGAGTCCAGGCTCTACCTGGTTATGGCCCTAGTGAAGCCCTGTTAGCTAACCGTTGGCTCCCCATCCTTTGTTCCCATTTCCTGGTTAAACTTCTCAACACAGGTCAGCAGACAACTCACCCACGTTCCAGTCACTCATGGCCCTGTGCTCCTATGGGTTGCCTGAGACCATCAGTAACAGTTGCCATGTTTTCTCTTCCAGCCAGAGCTGGCTTCCTCAGGAGGGAAGTGTGCGGAGGCTACTATGTGCAGATACCTGCTGCCAAGTCTGCAATACCATGGCTCTGGAAATCCAGCAGTTGCTGGAGGGTGAGAAAATCCTGATGTCTCCCGCTTTACCGGGGCCATCACAGAGCTCCTCTCACCTAGAGATTTTGTCCAAGTCTAATGTATCTTTTGAGCACAGTCTGGAGCATCACTCCACATGCTCTCAAGAACTTTCACTTCCATCTGCAACACCTTCAGCATCACAATTAATGGATCAGAAATATTTAACCCAGCCAATTCCCTGGTCAGCAGCCCAATCACCTGGTACAGTTAGTAGGCAAGAACACTGGGCTGAAAATGTCCAGCTACAAGAAGGATTTCAGGGTCCAGATATGCCCCAACTTCAAGAGACTATGTATGACGCAAGGTTTGAGGAATCTAGGATTCCAGTGAACCAGCAAGAGATTATACAGCAAAACCTCACCCTTGTGTATGGGAACCAAGGTCAGCAGCCCTTGCATCCCCAGGTCTCTCTGCCAATCCTGAACCAAGATATCACTATCATGGCACATCCTATAGCCTTGCCTATGGTCACTGTCCTCCCTACCCACCTGCCATTCCCCAGTCCTGAAGTCCTGAGGCTTCTTGAGGTACATGTAAAAAAATGGATGCATTTCCAGAGGTGGGGGCTGCCCAGGCGTGTAGAGGAGTCCCTGAGGCAGTTTATCCCAAACCCACCATTGTTTTACCAACCTCTAAATAACCAACCAGCTTTTTTCACCCAAAATGATACTTCTGAATTCTCTGTTGAGAAACTTGCCACCATTTCCTACCAGACCTGGGGTTCAAGTATGGCTGGCCAGGCAACCCAGGCATTCTGGGTTTCTCAGTGGTCCCTTAGAGACCCAATACAAAGACACCACTACCACCAAAATGCAAGCCACGTGGCTCTGGCCTTGCCCTCTGCATCCCTTAAAGACTTAAGTGGCCTCTATCCACTTCCTAGGCAACAGGCTAAGGACTCAGTGGGCCATTTGCGGCTGAAATTCAGCCAGCTATTCTGTGGCCTCCCTTCTCTGCACAGTGAGTCCCTGGCTGACACCTTCTTGGGCTCTCAAGGTCACTCCACAAACGGGAGCCGGTCCATGCTCCCCCTCCCCTCGAAGGATCCTTTTCTCCTCAAGGACCGCCCCCTTCCTCCATCTGTTGCCTAAAACTCCACCCCAGTCACACCTGCCCTCTCCCCCATCATCCTCAAATTGGGTCACGCCATGTGACCATCCGCAAGCTCAGGTCAATGCCCCACTTCTGACTCTGGCCCAGTGTGAAGCCTTAGAGTGGCACCTGCTGCAGAGGCAGCTACAGCGTCAGTGGAGTTTGCCTGCTGCTTTCCAGAGAGCTCAGCACAGCCTCAGCCCTGGGCCACATAAGTCTTGTGGCACAGCCCAGTCTCCAGAAACTGTGAAAACTTCCTGGCCAGGAAAGCCCATCTCCGTCCTCACCAGGGAACTACTCCTCTTGCCGGACCACGCCCGGAGGCTGCTGGAATTCCACCTCCAGAAGCAGTTGATTCACCATCGCTGGGGCCTGCCCCTGAAGATCCAGCAGTCCTTCCAGTTGCTCCTGTCCCCCACTCACCAGCAGACCCCATCCTGGAGCGGCACAGCCCTCGCCAGTGGGAGCGTTCCCCAACCCTCCGCCCTAGAAGCCGCTGGTGCTGGTGACACTTTCTCACCGTTTGAGGACCCAGTCCTCATGCCACACTTATTTGACCAGGTCAAGGCAATGCTGCAGAGCCACATTGACTCCAAATGTGGGCAGATTCACGAGGGCAAGGTCCCTGCCCATGTGTGCAGGTCTTGTGAGCACATCATTCCTGGCGGCCTCGAAGTGGCTACCTTCACCTGCGTCCCAGAAAGCAAGCCCCTGGAGCTACAGGCAGCAGCCGACCCTGACCTGCGGCAGGAAGTGATGTCCAGGGTGCCAGCATCCCTGGATCAGCAGCAACAGACCTCACCAGAATCTGTCATGGAACTCCCTAAGCTACCCCGAGCCCTGTCCGAGGAAGCCATTGAGAAACTGAAGACAACTTTACGGCACAAGTATCTGGCCTTCTTGTCAGGGCTGCCTCCCCTTTATTATGTGGCCCTCTCCAAGGCCATGGCCCCAGCAATAACTACTCAAGCTACAATCCCGGAGGTGGTACGGGAACCTGTCGAAATCTTAACAGAACCCCTGACTCAGGTGAGCGTACCTGAAGAGCAGGATCTAAGGCCTGGGCCACACTTTCAAGGTGCCGGTGAGACTTGTGCAGAAACTGCAGATGCTACTCAGCCTGAAATGCCGGTGGAAGGAGTAACCGAGGTGGAGCCTCTAGAAAGCCAGACAGAGTCTGCCGGGCCCTGCCTCCTCAAGAAATCCATCTTGGCCAAACTAAATTTCCATCTGAGAAGGAAAGTGCTAGAGATGCAATGGGGGATTCCCACAAAGGCAAGGGAGTCCAGGGAACAGACTGTAGCAGTCCCAGACAACACATCCACACACGGGTCTCTTGGCAGTCTCAACGGCCAAGGAGAAACACCGCTCCAGAAACTCCCCATCCCGCCAAAGCCTCCCCATGCCCCAGATCCAAAATGGCTCTACCTGAAAGGACAGCTGGCCCTTGAGTTAAAGGCATTGCAGCAGACCCAGAAGCAACGTAGGTCCAGAGCAGCACCCCATGGTTCTGCCCACGGGTCCTCCAAGATGTCACAACCCAGCGGAGACATGACAGAGGGCCAGGTGCTTTGTGTTCACTTGGAGGCCAGTGTGAAGAAGCCCAGTCTGGGAGAGCCCTGGAGCCCTGAGTCCCAAAGCCTGGGCAAGAGCAAGTATTCAGCCCAAGTCGCCAGGCTGGCTAAAAAGAAAAAGGACCCAGGGAAACCGAAATCGGCAGGAGACCACGGAGAAGGAGATGCAGGGTTTGTGCTGTCCTCGGCAAGAGAAGGCAGCCACCCGGCTGAAGCTCGGAGGACAGAAGGGATGCTTCGGAACAGGGCTCCCCAAAGCCCCTGGACACAGAGACATAGCTTCCACCTTGGTGCTCCCTGTCAACACAGTTCCCAGCACCGCCCTCACCTTAAGCCCCCAGAGCCACCTCCAGGAGTTTTTGGTGGGCAGAAAGCTAAGAAGAACGGCCAGCAAGACAGTCGAACCGGGCTCGATGTCAGCGTCGTACCAGCGAGGATTGCTGAGAATGTCCAGCCTGTGGGGCTCCAGGTGTTACAGGGCCCTCCTTTCCTCAGCCATCTCATTCAGCATAAGCTATTGCAGGGCCAAATTTCGCAAGGTCGCGTTTTGCAGAGGCAGGCCATGCCAGTCCATTGTCCCAGGAGGCCCGCCCTTCCAGAATCAGGCTTGAGACATAAGATGAAATCCTTTCTGCAGAGTATAAACCTCAATGCAAAAGGCCAAGGGCAAAAGGAGCCCATGTTTTCGACAGCTGAGAAAAGAGCCAACACCAGAAAAGAAAATGTACAAAGGAGGCTGGCTCCGGCCAAAAGTTCCATGAAGAGAACCAAGACAGAGAAGAAAACAAGAGGGAACCCCAAGGCCCAACCTCCCCCTACAGAGAAGCAGGTGGGCCTCTTGGATGGCTCCCACTCCCCAGACAGTAAGCTCCGGCAGCGCTCCTGCTCCAAGCAGCTCCACTCTGCCTCAGCCTCGCGCCACCCTCGCCACTGCCCTTGGCACTATCCTCAAGTGGCCTGTGCCACCCAGCCTGGGAACCCACCCTAACTCTCAGCAATCACCTCAGAGGGACGTATTGGCCTGCTCAAGGAGACCCAGCACAATCAAAACGCGTTGCAGGCTCCCCAACGTCTGCATCCCTTGAAGAAGACTGCTAGACTGCTACTGTCATTTTCAATAATGTGCAGGCGAGGCAGAGCGCCACCCAAAATACAGCCTATATCTCTAAGCAAAGACTTGTCTGTTTGCTCCTTCTCTCCACTGTGGTGTGTTAAGGGAAGGCATGAGGGAGGCCAAAATGTCCTTCTTATCTAGGGAAGGAGCTGTAACCCCCACTTAAGCGCAGTCAGCATTCCACACCAACTCCCCCCAGCCCCTCCCTGGACAGTGGATAAAGGGACTTGAGCAGAGACGGAAGGCCTTTGTCTAAGGTGCACTGAAGGTAAAGGTCACATTTGAATTCTGTCGTGGCTCTCCATGGTATTATTGGGCCCAGAGGAGCAATGTGGATGTGAGGATAGTACTGATAAGAAGGAGTGGCCAGGACCCCCAGGCAATATTCATTGATGACTTCCACCCAAGGAGAGGAGCTTTTTAGAGATGTGCCACAGCGGCCTGGCCTTGAGGAAGTGCTTTGTGTTTGTCAAAAGCACATAGTTAATGTGATGTTAGGTCAAAGCAAATGATAGAATCACCGCCTCTCTGCTTTCTCAGTTATTGGTTAGCACTTTCTGGAGGACTCATCTGGAAGGCTTCTGTAGCTCTCTTGCCTCTCTCTCACCTCCATTGCTTATCATCTGTATGGAATAAGTGAGTCCTGGAATGATGATCACAGTAGGACATGAATTAGTGTCTTGTCCTTTACCTCTAATGACAAGCACGGAGGGTAGCATAGAAACAGTCAGAGGTCTGAGTATTTGGGACAGAAACTTACCTGTGCTTGACCAGGGTATATAATGGAACAAAGCAAATTTGATTTGTACTCAAAAGAACCTAGAGCCAGGAAGGCAACCCAAGGCCCAAGTGCTTTAGGGGAGGGAGCTGAATTAACACTGATATTAGGTCTTTTGCCCATTGTGTGATGAAGGGCAGTGATTTCAGCCTTTTTGTTCACCCCAAACTGTACAATGGATAAGGGACATACTAGTGCCTTAATAGTCCTGAATCCAAAATCTGGACCAGGGAGGCAGAAAAATCATTACATTAATATGATAAGCACTATGAATGGGGGAACGCATCATCAGAGGATATCATCTGCTGATAAACACCCCAGAAGGATCACAAAAATGGCCTGGATAGGCACATTATGTTCAACAATTAAAATATTTGAGTACTTACTATATGCAAGGTAATATAGCAAACACAACAATGAACATGACATAGGACTTGCACAATGATCTCATGGGATCTCATGATCTCATGGGATAGCTGGTGTCATGGGCCCAAATTGTCTAATCAACATATGTTCTTGGAGTCCAATATTAATCTCGAAATAAAAAACTAAACTCCTGATTCTCCACCCACCACCATCACCCAATCACTCATACAGAACATGCTCCATAGTATTCACCATTTCGGTTAAAGGCAACTCCATCTTCCCATTTCTTTTTTTTTCTTTTTAATTTTTTAATGTTCAATTTCCATCTTTCCATTTCTTCAGTACAAAATATTGGTGTCATCCTAGACATTTTTTCCCTAGCAATACACATCCAATCCATTCAAATCCGGTTGTCTTTACCTTCAAAATGAATTCCTAACATGACCACTTCTCACTCCTGTTGCTATGATTGCTGCAGTAGCATCATAACTAATCTCCTAGTTTCTTCCTAAGACCATAATCTTCAGCAGTCCATTCTCAACACAAAAGCCAGATGGTCCTCAGGGAGGGTCCTTGTTATAGATGACTGATTGAAAGATAGATGGGGGTGGGGGGAGAGAGAGAGATGATAGAAAGATAGAATCATGGACTGGATGAGATCACAAGGGAATAAGTGTAAATGAAGGAGAGACTAAAGACCAAGCTCCAGGATAGTCCAACATTAAGAAATGCATGGGTGGGGGTGGAGAGTAGGAAAAATAAGCAGAGACTGAGTAGTAGCAGCCAGTGAGGTGACGGGGGGAAAACCAGGAGAGTGTGGTATAATGGAAGCCCATAAAGAAAGACATTGCAAAGAGAATGTGAACAACTGCATGAAAAGTTGCCAATGAGCCAAGTAAGATGAGGACTTGGAATTGATTATTAAATTTAACAACATGGAGATCATTCATGACCTTGAGAAGAATAGACTCGGGTGAATGACTGGAGTAAATTCAAGAGAGAATGAAAGAGCATTGGTGATAACAAGTATAATTAACTGCTTCAAAGAGTTTTGTGCCACAGAAGTGCATGAAAAAAATGAAGAAACAGCCCCAAGAATTTTTGAAATAGAGAAGACATAGCATGTTGGATATTGATGAAAAACATAAAATCAAGATGTATAAATTAATGATGCATGAGAGCACAGGAAGAAGTGCTGCAGCCATGTCATGGTACAGAAATGCAGAATAGGAGTGGGTCCTCAAGTCAAGCAGTTAGCCTCAGCTAAAAGCACAAACACTTCACTGGAGTAGTTAGAAGGTGACATTAATGAGAGAGAACTTTGTATATCAAGAGAAGAAAGATTCCCCCAAAATTAAGAGGGAGGGGGGAGAAAAACTTAGAGGGGTGAATGAGGAGCTGGGAAAAGATCATGACAAGGGGGAGAGGTGCAATATAAAGAGTCAAGGCCAGAGGTAGAGAAAAATTCTGAAAGTTACTATGGCAAGTTTTGTTTTGTTTTTATATTATTATTTTAATTATACTTTATTGATTATGTTATTACAGCTGTCCTGCTCTTTTTTCCTTCGCCCCTCTCCACCCAGGAGCTCCCCACTCCCTCAGGCAATCACCACACCATTGTTCGTGTCCATGGGTCATGCATAGAAGTTCTTTGGCCACTCCATTTCTTATACTGTACTTCACATCTCTATGGCTATTTTCTAACTACCTATTTGTACTTCTTAATCCCCTCACCTCTTCATGCATTCCCCTACACCCCATTCCCACCTAGCAACCATCGAAATGCTCTCTGTATCCATGATTCTGTCTCTGCTCCTATCGTTTGCTTAGTTTGTTTTATGGATTCAATTGTTGACAAGTATGTACTTATTGCCATTTTATTGTTCATTGTTTTGTTCTTCTTTTTCTTAAAAAAGTCCCTTTAAGAACTACTAAACTTCGCAACAGCATGGATGGAACTGTAGAGCATTATGCTAAGCGAAATAAGCCAGGGAGCAAAAGACAATTACCATATGATCTGACCTATAAGTGGAACCTAACCAACAATACAAAGATGCAAGGAAAATAGGACCAGCAACACTGAAAGGAAAAGAAATCAACAGAGACAAGAGGGAAGGAGGGGGGGCAGGGAAAAGGAAGGGAAGGGGAAAGTCAAGGAATATATAGCAAGGACTCATGGACAAAACCAAAGGGGAAGAGCTGAGGGAGGGAAGGAGGGAGGGGGCAAGGGAAAGTGGTGGGGGGTAGGCAGAGGCAAATGTATTTGAAAAAATAAATAAAATATTTTTAAAAAGTCCCTTTAACATTTCATTTAATAACAGTTTGGTGATGATGAACTCCTTTAGTTTTTCCTTGTCTCAGAAGCTCTTTATCTGCCTTTCAATTCTAAATGATAGCTATGCTGGGTAGAGCAATCTTGGCTGTAGGTCCCTGCTTTTCATGACTGAGTATTTCTTGCCAGTCCCTTGTAGCCTGCAAGTTTCTTTAGAGAAATTAGCTAACAATCTTATGGGAAGATCCCTGTACGTAACTAACTGCTTTTCTTTTGCTGCTTTTAACTTTCTCTCTTCATCTTTAACCTTTGGCATTTTAATTATGATGTGTCTTGGAATGGACCTCTTTGCATCCATCTTGTTTGGGACTCTTGTGCTTCCTGGACTTGCATGTCTATTTCCTTCACCAAATGAGGGAAGTTTTCTTTCACTATTTCTTCAAATAGATTTCCAATTTCTTGCTCTTTTTCTTCTCCTTCTGGCACCCTTATGATGCAAATATTGGGCCTCTTGAAGATGCCACAGAGGCTACTTATATTATCCTTGTTTTTTGGGGTTCTTTTTTCTTTTTGTTGCTTTGATTGGTTGTTTTTTGCTTCCTTATGTTCCAAATCATTGATATGATTCTTGGCTTCATCCATTCTACTGTTGTTTCCCTGTAAATTGTTCTTTATTTCAATTAGTGAATCCTTCATCTATGACTGGATCTTTTTATGCTGTCAAAGTCCTCACTACTTTCCTTGAGCATCCTTATAACAAGTGTTTTAAACTCTGCATCTGATAGATTGCTTATCCCCATTCCATACGCTCCTTTTCTGGAGTTTTGACCTGTTCCTTCATTTGGGCCACATTTCTTTGTCTCTTCATTTGGGTAGCCTCCCTGTGTTTGTTTCTATGTATTAGGTAGAGCTGCTATGACTCCCTGTCTTGGTAGTATGACCTAGTATAGGAGGTATCCTGCAGGTTCCAGACTGGGTACTCAAGGTGTGCTCTTTTTGTTGACTGAGTACACCCTCCTCTTATAGTTGAGCCTTGGTTGCTATAGCAGGCCAAGGGGAGGGATTCACCCAAGCCAGTCAGCTGCAAGGATTGGCTGTGACCACTGTCCACCAACCTCCACTCTCTGTGGAGGATCAGCTGTTCAGTGGTAGTGTGGTGGTGTTCCAATGTGGTTGGTAGCTGTCCACTGGGTGCAGAGGCATGGGATTTTGGGGGTGATGCTGGTCAAGGTTAGCCTCCACTGGTGTTTTGTCCCCAGGGCCACCCTGTCTGAACTATAGAGCAATCTGAGATGGCTGCTACTTGTGCTGGGCTTGGAGATTCTGAGCCAGAGCCAAGCTATGGATGGATCTAGGCTGGCCGCTGCTAGTGCTGTGCCTGGGGCTACTTAGCAGAAGGTATGAGGGTTCAGGATCACAGAGGCCAGGTGTTGCTTGTTTGAAAAGATTTAGGAAGTT